ATATTTACTGTTAGGGTAGGAGTATGCTAGCTGACTAGGATAACTCCTTGTTATACATGTGCACTTTAGTATATTTGGTGTCATGGTATGCTAGACTGGTAGGATCTTTCCTGTTGATTGTATGATATTGTTGGTATGAGCAGTGTAAGACATTTAGTGTCATGGTATGCTAGATTGGTAGAGTCTTGCTTGTGGACTATATGACCTTATTAGGTGTCATGGTTGGTTAGGGCAATGCTTGTAATGGTTGTAGGTGGTTAAGTTGGATAACTTGAGAACTCTTGGTCTAAAGTCTGATTACATGGTTCTTGTTTGATTTGTTGCTTTCGGATACACCACCTGTTCGACTGTCTATCTAATCTTTGATCACATACGATTTTATGTATTGTATGAAAGACCAGGATATGGCCCCTAACATTGACTTGTTATGAGTTAGGGTTGGGACCGTTACTCTTTAGGCGTGGCCCATTATGTATGTAGGTGGGGCCTGTTATATGAGTTAGGGTTGGGCCCGTTATACTCTTTGGTCCAGGCCTGTTATGTATGTTTGGGTTGGGCCTGTTATGCATGATGTATGCTTGTGATAGGGAGAACAGGTAGGTATGCTTTAGAGTCGAGGACTTTGTGTGGATGCATTGTATATATGATGGAATATGTGATATATTGGGGAACTCACTAAGATTTATGCTTACAGTAGTGGATAAAATGCTTATAGGTTGTTCGTGAGAAGAGCTCGCTGGGGGACTGTACACACGCATCGAAGATAATGATTTTCTGTTGTCCTGTAATTCAACTCTAATAACATTATTGTTTCAAACAAATGAACATGGCTTATTGTTTTTAACTTAATGATTTTAATTGGTTAACCTGTTTCCAAATGAAAAATCTCTTTGTAATTTTTGAGACGTTACATTTTATCTCAACAAAAAGTTGCCTTCAAATATTCTTGAATGAACCCAAATGCTAAACTCCAGACCGGTTTGTACCCCGCCTGATACTATGACTAAAATCAACCACACTGCCTCCTGTAGATGATCCAAGATTATAACGAAGTCTAGTAGGTACACTTCAGTTCACACTTTTACCATACCCGACATCACTTATGTCATTCAACAAACATGTCTCGACATGCATGATCATCATTTTACCACTCTAAAGCGGAATCTTCGATACATTCGAGGAACATTAAACGATGTACTATATTTCTTTGCCTCACCCTCATGACGTCTTATCACTTACTCGCATGCTAACAAGGTTAGTTCCCCAAATACGCAACGATCCACATCAAGAGACAATGTGTTGTCAGCCCAAATTATCTAGCTTTCATCATCCTCGAAGAGGCAATGAACCATATCTTGATTTAGTAGTGTGGGGTAGCAAATGAAGATGCAAATTTCACAAAAATCTATTAATTAAGAAACATACTTCTTTTAGATGCAAAAGCCGCTAATAACAATATAAAAAATAAGCACCAAGTAGTAACAAACAAAACATCAAATAAAACTTCATGCAAATAAAAAACTATGAGATATGTATGTAGTCTCATATTAACTCTTCAAAAGATCCCTTATGTAAAATGAGAGACTTCGACATATATAATCACTTACATGATCGTTCTGTACCGATATGAAATACATTAACACAATCTCTCCCAGAAACAAACTTGATGAGGACAAATAGGATGTCTCAAGCCATGTTGGTGTTAGATATTGGTTCGGATACCATGTAAGATGCATCATATATGTCGAGTCTCATATTAACTTTCAAAAAAGCCCTCGTAAAAAGAAGAAGACACCAACATAAATAACCTTCACTTGTCAAAATTATTTTTGAATATAACTTATTAGGTGGTCCTTGGAATTAAAGACTATTATACCCTACTTAATTAAATTGCCTTTTTTACACTTGTAAGCTTTCGCATTAGCCACCCTGCCCAATCGTTTCGAAAATATCTAAATGAGAGAATCTGTTTCTAGAGGCCCCATTTCAAGAAAGGAGGTAAAAAAAATGGTGTTGTAATAACAAGAAGGCCCGATTCACTAAAGCAATAGAAGCCTTGAAGCAAAAGTTGATAATTCCTTCAAGTTATAATATTTCGATGTCATTATTGGTAGGTGAAGTTGCTCTTGACAGAAATGTACTATGGCTGGTGCAACCTTAAATGCTTTAAAATTACTCTCTTTGTGTTGTCCTTTTGGTTACATTTATGTAATGGTGCGATGTGCTCCGTATTTCTATTTTCCTCGTTTTGTAATTTTGCCAGCACCCTTTAATAATATTAATAAACTATTTGCCGTTATAAAATAATAATAATAAAAAAAAAATAGTGAGAAGCCGGCTTCCTGACGGGTTCTTTTTGCGTTTATCAAAGAATTTTTGGGATGGGACAATAAATATCTTGCTATTCTGAACTCGGTTATTAGTCATGTCATGTGCAATCTGGACTCTTAAAGATCGAAATATCCTTGATGGCTTCTTGAATATTGATTATCAATAAAATAGTCTCGGTGGCAAAAAAACGAAGCGAAATATATTTAATCATTTATCCTAATATCTGAATTCAGAAAGGCTTTTTTGATATCATTAAATCGGAGGCCAAAAGCCCATTTTAATAGGTGGGCCTTGGTAACTAATGGTTATTTTTAAAAATAATTTAATTTTTAACTAAATTTTGGAAAAAATATATTTTTGTTTAATTTGGTTATTTTAGGAGGTGTTTGAATTAAACGTATTTATATTAGTCTGTATCAAAATAAAATAAGTTAAAAGTTATTTTTTAATGTTTGAAATCTACCTCTTCTAATAAATAAAACTTAAAAATGATATTTTTTTAGAATGTCTCTTTGATACATTGCATTTTTCTATGATTTTTTTTATACCGAAAAATGACACGTGTCAGTTTTTGTTATAATGTCTCTTTCTTTGACACGTGACATTTTTCTATGATTTTTTTTTTATAACAAATCAAATTCAATTCAAAATTTGAAAATACAAAATCATATCCTAATAACATTATTATGTTTGTTTTGCTTAACAAATTAACTCATAATTACTTATAATAGACAATATCTTGGTTTTTTATATTTATTATTTTTTATCTATATAAATTTTTTAAATATACCCATCATGGTTTCTACGGGTTATAACCTAGTTGGCTAATAAATAACATCTTTATTTATTATTTATAATTTATAATTTTATCTTTTACAACTATTTAAACCAATAACATATATACAAAAATATAACTTTTACAGAAATTTATGTTAATAACGGTAAAAATAGTATATTTTACAAAAACTCATTTCAATAATAAACATTTTAATTCTTTTTATATTCAAACACTTAAAATTCTTTTCTATTTAAATGTTTAAAAAATATTTACTGGCATTAGTTAGACCTGACAAACGTGTCGTGTCGTGTCAAAACAATAAACGGTTTGAGAGAGCTTAACCCTAACCCGACCCGTTTGATTAATGTGTTGTGTCGTGTCAACATGTTTATTTTCGTGTCGAGTTCGTGTCGGGTTTCAGGTTAGGGGTATACCTTAAAATGTGTCGTGGCATGTGAAGTTGAAACATTAAATATGTTAAAAGAGTATGATTTGGATACCTGGAAAGGAAATGTGATAGTTGGGAGGTGAAATGACTAAATTTATAGTAAGTTTAAAATATAAAATGGAATGAATATGAGTTGGAAGGAGAAGGGAGGGCTCACGAGGAGGAGAGAGTGGTTGAGGGGACTATGTAATTTGGGCGATAACAAAAAAACTAAAAATGAAAGTATTGACTAAGATGGCTAAGTGTATTCCAGGTTACAAAATGAATCAACCTAAAGATTTTCTTTTATGTATTGTTTTGGTTTTTTTTTTGTCTTTGTAGTTTATTTAAAATATTCATAAAACGAGTCATTTTCGAGTCATATTCAAGTTGAAATTTTCAACCCTAACCTTACCTGTTTATTTTTCATATCGTGTCGTGTCAACCCGTTTAATTAAACGGGTTGAAATATCTTACCCAAACCTGTTTATTTCATATCGTGTCAGTTTTTGTCACCTCTAGCCTTAAACCATGAAAAATTAATAAGCACCGATCCAAAACACCCTTACTCTTTTATTTATGATTTTCAGTCGTTCAAAATATGAAAATTGTAACTTTAGCATATTTTAATATTTTTACTAAGTTATTTTATATACAACATTTTTTATCCATATATAAAACAATGATATGCTTTTTATGTATAATTGTATATTATAAAACTCATCTAAAATAGAAATCGTTTATATAGATAAAAAAAATACTATATATTATGTGCAAATCAGTTATCTTTTTTCTAAGTCTTTCATCCATACATCCCCCGCCCCAAGAAAAAAAAAATGGTGTCTAGACGTGGGATACACAAAATAATTGAGTTAACCAAGTATGCGTTTAATGCATCCTTTCAAGTTGTCGCTTCCAACTGTTTGGTCAAATGTCTAGCTGCGGTCAAAGAATAAGTTTCTTTTAACAGACTGCCAAATCATGAAACAACATAAGAACCATTCTGCAACCATGGTTCTTGTCTTCTTGAACCCTTAACAGTATTTGAAAGGTCACACTGACCCTTAAAGTATTAGAGATCAAACACATTATCTGATTATCTTAAACAAGGATATCTTTGTCAAAAAACTCATAACCTTTTTAGATAAAAAGTTATTATCAGTGGATTGAATGCACCATACATACCTGTTAACTGTTTGATATAATGTCTATAGCTTAAAAGTTATTTAAAGGGTTTTCAAAAAAAAAAAAAAATCTTTAGATTACCAAAACCTGTAACCAAGCATGCAAGCATGATCCACAGAAGCATAACAAGATTTAATTAGGAAATATATATATATATATATATATATATATATATATATATATATATATATATATATATATATATATATATATATATATATCAATTTTGTATTTTTTTCTAAAAAATACAAGTACCAAATTTTGTAATTACTCGTAGCCATGAAGTCTATGCATGGTGAGTTTCTGGATCTACCATTTCGAAGCTGACAACTGTTTGAAAAAAGTCTACATGATGTAAAATTTGCAACGATGGAGTCTAAAGAATTGTCGTCTCCATGAGGAAGGAAAAAAAGTGGAGGTATTAATGAGAAGCTTTTAGTAGGTGAACATGGCACATTTACTGATTTGCATGTTAGCTAAGCTAAGGATGTGGTGCAGTTGAGAGCTCAATCAATGAAAATAATGGTACATTACATTTTTTTTATTTCTTCTTCATCCCTCATTCATATATGGGTCCCTTACTCTCATGTGATCTTGTTCATATCTTTAGCAATGTCGGCAGCTAGCAGCCTCCATTGCCAAACTGTACTCAACACTCATTATATATACACATTACTAGTAACTGATCCAAGTACTCACTCAAAACTGAGGCTTTTTTAGAAACCTTATCACTCTATCTTATATTCTTATATGCCTATAATAAAGTAATGCAGGTTTATTCAGTCTGTAGGCCTGAAACCCTTTTGGGATTCTTGCTGATTTTAGTTTTTTCAGGGAATTTCTGTTATGGTTATGACAAGGTTGTGGAGGTAGTTGGGATTGGAGAATGTACTGATTGTAAGGACATTAATATCAAGAGCAGCCATGCTTTATCAGGTAATCTTTAATTACTCATTGCTGCTAGAGTTACAGTACAAATTAATGTTTTTCTGAATCAAAATGTTATGCAAATCGCTAAATGGAGGCAAACAATTGGACTTGTAAAATTAAGTGCTAGATGCAACAAATAGCAAAATTAGTTTCACTTATTTGTGTATTGTAGCATCGACTGTAGTTTCATTTTTTTTTCTTATTAAAGCATTCCCTTTCAAAATTCCATTTGTTTACTGCATTCTACTTTCAATTTCTTTTCTTATTAGAACATAGTACTTTGAAAAAACTATCTACTTATAACATATAACAACGAAAATTATTTTATATTTGAATAATATTACTATAACTCGGTAGATTTTTCAAAATACAATGTTGTAAAATGAAAAAAAGAATATGAAACGAAGGCGCTATAATAAACAAATCAATGAAAGTATGTTTATAACTTCATTTAACCCTTTATTTGATCGGATAAAATGATAGTAAAAGTGTATATGTTTGGTTTTGTTTCAGGGCTTAAAGTAACGGTTGACTGCAAGCTTGAGAACGGGATGCTCAAAACAAAAGGTGTGGGAGAGCTGGATGGTGAAGGGAACTTCAAGATCTCTCTTCCTCAAGAGATCTTGAAAGATGGGAAGTTGACAGAAGAATGTTATGCGCAACTTCACAATGCAGCAAATAAACCATGTGCAGTTCATGATGGTTTAGAAGCCACCAAGATCACTTTCCAGTCAAAATCCGACCAAAAACACACCTTCCAACCTGTTGGAAAACTTAAATTCTCATCAGCAGTGTGCACTTCTAAATTCTTCTGGCCTTATTTTAAGTATCCTCCCCTACCAACACTACCACCTTTGCCCAAAACACACCCATGGTTTGGCCACCATTTTCCTCTTCCTCAATTTCCACCAAAGGTTTATCCATCATTCCCATTTCCACCAAACACACCATCACCTACTCCTGTTTATGACCCACCGGTTGTTGAGACTCCCCCTGTTCCAGTATACAATCCTCCTCCGGTTGTTGAACCACCACCAGTTTACAATCCTCCTCCGGTTTACAATCCACCACCTGTTTACAATCCTCCTCCTGTTTACACACCAACACCAAAGCCAGAACCACCAGTAGTCAAGCCTCCTTGTGACCCAAAACCAAAGCCAGAGCCACCTGTCTACAAACCTGCTCCCATTCCAGTTTATAAGCCAAAGCCAAAGCCCCCAGTCTACAAGCCTGCTCCCGTCCCAGTTTACAAGCCAAAGCCAAAGCCAGAGCCTCCGGTCTACAAGCCTGCTCCCATTCCGGTTTATAAGCCAAAGCCAAAGCCACCAGTCTACAAGCCTGCTCCCATTCCAGTTTACAAGCCAAAGCCAAAGCCTCCGGTCTACAAGCCTGATCCCATTCCAGTTTATAAGCCAAAGCCAAAACCGCCTGTTTATAAGCCTGCTCCCGTTCCAGTTTACAAACCAAAACCAAAGCCACCCGTCTACAAGCCTGCTCCAGTTCCGGTTTACAAGCCAAAGCCAAAGCCGCCAGTCTACAAACCGGCTCCGGTTCCGGTTTACAAGCCAAAACCAGAGCCACCGGTTTACAAGCCTGCTCCGGTTCCGGTTCCAGTTTACAAACCAAAGCCAAAGCCGCCAGTCTACAAACCTTCCCCTGTTCCAGTTTATAAGCCAAAGCCTGAGCCACCGGTCTACAAACCTGCCCCTGTTCCAGTTTACAAGCCAAAGCCAGAGCCACCGGTCGTCAAGCCTCCTTGTGACCCAAAACCAAAACTAGAGCCACCTGTCTACAAGCCTGCTCCCGTTCCTATTTACAAACCAAAGCCAGAGCCGCCGGTCTACAAGCCTGCTCCGGTTCCAGTTTACAAACCACAGCCAAAACCGCCTGTTTATAATCCTTCTCCTGTTCCGGATTACAATCCGACACCAAAATCACCATTGCCTCCGGTAATAGACCCACCTTCACCAAAGAAACCTTGCCCACCATTTTCTCTCCCAAAGCTTCCTCCTTTGCCCACCATTCCTCCAAAGTATTTCCATCATCACCCCATCCTAGGGAATCATCATCCTTTGCCCACCATTCCTCCAAAATATTTCCACCATCCCATCGTAGGGGATCTTCCTCCCCTACCTCCTAAGTACTCTCATCCTTAATTAAGACTTTGCATGCTATCAACAAACAAATAAAGACTTCATGATTGGAAACAATTTTAGAAGATTATGCATAGAGATTGATAGATCCGGCAAAGCGATTAGGATTTCGTTTGTGCATGAATTGAATGTGTATCATGTGAAGATATTCAATGGGGTTTGTAAAGTTTCAAGTTTGCATTTATATTGTATCGATTGAATCAATAATTGTACTTTTAACTAAAAGAAGTTATTATTTAAAGTTGTGTCTACAAATATTGTAAGCCTTTTCCACGTTAATTTTCTGTGTCATTTTTTTTTTGTTTTTAGTTGATTGCTTGCGTAACAATAAGAGTAGTGAAGTTATTAAAAGCCATGACATCAGATTAATAGAGAAGAATTCGAGATGCCAAAGCTTGAAACTTTCAATTGTGCCTTGAATTGAGGAGGAAAGTGTAATATAGCTAATTAGCAATACTACGTAAACTACCACCAATTACAAATATATACAAAAAATATATTATAACACGTGCATTATAATACGTAAAGGGCAAAATCGTAAATAACTCCTAATATACAATCCCAGTTCAACAAACCCCTCCTACATAAAGGTAACCGCACGATGCTGTCACGTGTCCATACGAACAGTTGAGATTCACTTGCTGAGTTGATCTACCGTCATAGTCGACTATATAATTACACCTTGTGTTTTTTACTGTGTGTAAAAGTGTAGAAACGCGGCGAAAGTAATTAAGGGCAAAATCAACGATGGCAAATCCTAGGGTTTTCTTCGATATGACCGTCGGCGGTTCACCGGCCGGCAGGATTGTGATGGAGCTGTTCGCTGACACAACTCCAAAAACCGCCGAGAACTTCCGTGCACTCTGCACCGGTGAGAAAGGAACCGGTACTTCCGGCAAAAACTTGCACTACAAAGGATCCTCATTCCACCGTGTGATTCCCAATTTCATGTGCCAGGGCGGTGATTTCACCAGAGGTAACGGCACCGGCGGTGAGTCCATCTATGGTAACAAATTCGCCGACGAGAATTTCAAAAAGAAGCACACCGGTCCGGGAATCCTCTCCATGGCCAATGCCGGTCCAAACACCAACGGATCTCAGTTCTTCATCTGTACGGAGAAAACCGAGTGGCTCGATGGGAAACACGTCGTGTTCGGAGAGGTTGTTGAAGGAATGGACGTCGTAAGGGCGATCGAGAAGGTTGGATCTGGAAGCGGAACCACCTCTAAGCCCGTCGTTATTGCCGATTGTGGTCAACTTTCTTAGATTCATATCTATTTCCTGTTTTTAATTTCTCAATTTTGATTTAATTGTGTCCATCGTATCGACTATCATGGTGGTGTTATCTAGGGTTTTGTACTGGTTGTGTTAAGGGTTTATATCTAAGTTGATGGTTAATGATGTGAACTACTTGGGATGAAATAAAATTAAGTTTTCCAATTCCTTTGTTTGACCCGAGATTTTGTACAAATCCTTTGTCTATGGGACCGGTGATTTTGAACACCATTCCATGATGGCTCTCTTTAAAATAAAAATAAAACAAAAAGTTACCATGACAGATGCACCCTTGACCAGTTGACCCTCCTACATGTCCTTGACAATTCCAAATCATCAACACTACAAATATTCTCTCAACTGAGGCAAAGACTTTGGAGTGCCACGCTTTAAATTATAGTAACCTTGTCCTAGTTGTAATTTGGAGTTGGTTGAGAAGGAGAATGCTGAGTTGAATCCTATTGATAGCGGAATCCGAGTAGCAGATTGTTCTTCTTGAGCAATAGAAAGTGGAAGCTGTTTACCAAATGGAGAAGAAGGCTGTAGCAATGATGACAACTAATTCCAAAGAGCTGGATAGTTTCAAAGCCGAAGCCGAGATTGTGAGTGAGCGTTTAGACGGCCTTCAAAATAAACAAGTGTTGGAACCAATGTTTTAAAAACCGGTTTGAACCGGTCCGTTGGACCGGAAATCGGAGAGGGAGCGGTTCAACTATTATCGGTTTTACGTCGATTTCTGAACCGGGTTGAACCGGCCGGTTTGTAGAAAACCCAGTTGAACCGGTTAAACGGAACAAAAATACATGAAAAAGAAGATTTGCATAATAAAATTTGGTGATTTTTTTTTCAAATTTATTTAGATTTCTCTAAATAAAAACTTATAGTAAATGTTATAAAGTTTTTTGATGTGTCTTATTTATCTAAAACTAAATTTTGTTTCAGTACTATACTTTATTTTCTTTTTGACGTATATTGATTGATATAAAACACTAAAATTTATGTTTATGTATTATTTTAATGTATTTGAATTGATCCACAACTTATTTTTATATGTATTTTTAATGTTTGAACTTGTAAATGTCAATTCATGATTTATATATGAATGTATGTATAGGAAAATTAGAAAAAAAGATGAAAATTATAGAAATCGGTTAACCCAACGGTCGAACCGGGAACCGGTCACCATACCGGTTCAACTAAAAAACCGATTTTAAAACATTGGTTGGAACACGCATCGAGTATGGTCTTCACAAGGGATTTATAGAAATGGAGAGTAAGGCTTGGTGCGCCACAGCTAGCTGAAAAACTAGCTTATTTTTCGAGTTTTTTTAGTTGGCGTTTGATAAGCCAAAAAACTAGTTTAAGATAACTTTTAAGTTAGCTTTTAAAAAGCTACTTGGAGTAGCTTTTTAGGAGTTTTTTTTACAAACTTCTCAAATATACCCTTAATTAATTATAAAAAACTTATTTTGAAAAATACCCTTTTATGTAATTTTATATCTTTCAGCTAGCTTATCAGCTAGTTTTTACCAAACATTCTTTTTTATCGGCTAGCTTATCAGTTAGCAGCTAACTTTTTAACCGTCAGCTAGCTTTTCAGCTATCAGCTAGTTTTTCAGCTACCAGCCAAACGCAGCCTAAATATTTGTATGATGTCGCTACAATTGTACCTGTATATTCCTACCCTGGTGCTAGTGGTCATATCTAAAATTGGTTTGCATCTCTAGTTGCCGAAGATTTTTCATTTTTAAGAGATTTGAAATCCGATGTTATTGGTGTAAGAACTTGTTCGCGTTGGGGGTCGAGTCATTGGTCACTGGTAAGGTAAGTGGCAGCGATGATGAAGTGAGTTGAGTACTTGTTTTTATCTTTTAAACATGTTAGATCTATCTTTTTATAAGTATGATAACCAAGGATTTATTATTATTATTTTAAATGTCACGTTACTACAAGTTCAATTTTTATAGAACTATACAAATTTTATGAAAGAAAAGCATCAAACACAAAAAAAAAAAAAAAAAAAAAAAAAATCAATCAATATGTATGAAGGAAAAGCATCAAGCATTATAACTACTAGCAATGTTTTGAAAACCGGACCGGACATCGAACCGGATGTTTTACCGGGTCGATGGTTCAACTGGTCTGACCGGTTGGACCGGTCTTAAAAACCGGAAAAACCGGATATATATATATATATATATATATATATAGATATATATATATATATATATATATATATATATATATATATATATATATATAAACAAAGAATTTGGGATAATAAATTTTTATAAGAAATTCAAATGTTTATTACTAAGTCCAGAAAGTGTCACTGTGTTGTGTTATGTGTAAAGGAATAAATTATATTTGTGTATATGTATATTAAATATACGAAGTGTGTTTGTGTTTTATATATGTATATTAAGTTGTGTAAAAGAAAATCTAAGTAAACATATATAATATATATTTAATATTTAATGTGTATGCTGTGTAGTGTAAAGGAGTCGCATATCTTTAAAATATGGAATAGTTACATTTAAGGAATCCCACATCGGTGGGTGATAAAGAAATAGAAGGCAAAGTGAGTAAATAAAAGGAAGCATTATCAGATTTTTGTGGAACAATCTAAGGGGTCGTTTGATAGTTGCTGACTGAGAAAGTGTTGATTGGAAAATGTCTGTCTGAGTAATAAATTCTGACTGAGAAAGAAATCATGTTGTTTGATTGTACATCTGACTGAATGTGCTGACCGATACAAAATGACCATTTTACCCTCGTGCTCTTAATAATAATAATAATAATAATAATAATAATAATAATGTATACAAAAACTTCAGCAAAATAGACATTAAATATATTATTTTAGAGATTAAAACACAAAAAACCATCTAGCTTGGTGGTAAACACCATTGTTTGTATATGAGAGACCCGAGTTCAATTCTGTAGCCTCCCATTTCACTTGTTGAACCTTGAATTTTTATCAAAGGGCAAGGGTATTATTGGAAAGTTTTGCTTTCTTTCTCAGTCAGTCTTCTCCCAACTCCTTTCTCGAGTTAGATGGCCAAAATTGGATTACCAAACAGATTTTGCTGACCGAGTCAGCCAAAAACGTCTGACTTGACTAGGTCAGACGCGTATCAAACGGGGCCTAAGTATCATCGGCTGCCTCTTTTTGGGCCGGCTAGCTCTTTTGGGCTGGATACAAGAATTTTTTTTCTTCAATAAACCGGATTTAAGAGTCGGTTGAACCAAGCCGGTTTTTTACGGTTTTTAAGTAAACCGGCGGTCTTTTACGGTTGGGATTGCAAGCGGTTTTTTGGGGATAAAAAACCGGTAACCTTGCCGGTTCCCGGTTGAACCGGCCGGTCCGGTCCGGTTTTCAAAACACTGAATACTAGCCATCAAAACAATTCAATAGAAATTCAATTAGGAACCAAGGCAAAGAAGGGCATATAAAATCAGGTAGACACTAGCCCATCTGAAATCACTATGCAGTGATCGATCCCATCAAGTAATTTTTACGGTGTCATATGATTGGCATCTCTTTTAAACAATTTGTCAAACATTACGCGGACGCCAATTAAAATAACTACTGAATTTGTGACCTTTTAAGGGTTTTATACTAGCTTTATGATCTTTTATCTAGTTACAAGATACATTATGGTTAATATTTTAACGGGGTTTTTACTATGACGGTTTTTATGTGAATTTTGGCTTGAATGACGATCACTTTGATCAACTTGTTTCCGGAGCAAAGACGAGCGAACCCATCTAATCGAATACCAACAACATAAATAATCATCGCAATTAGCAATTACGACTAACATATGAAACAAACACACCAATATGTTGTATGAAATCGATACTAGCCTTGAAATTGATTGAAGCTTCCTTTGTAGAAACCGACTTAAAAGATTGATACTATGAAATTGATAGGTTCGATGCTTTTATAGAAATCGGTTTGGAGGGAAAACTTAGCGTGCGTTTGGTTGTAGAAATCTTTCCGGTTTTCTAGGAAATTTTTTTCAAGAAAAAACGGAAATTTTGAAAACGCGTTTGTTTCGTTCAGTTTTCCAAAGCTTTCTAAGAAAATGAAAATTTCCAGTTTTCCAAATTGTATGTAATTAGAAAAGCGAGTTTTACAGTTTTCTAAAGTTTTCCAAAATTTTAAGATAAAAAATGAAAACTCCACCGCTTCCTACCAAACGCGTTTTCTAAAATTTTCATTGAAAACTAAAAATGAAAACTCAACTCTATTTTCTAAAAATATTTTCTTAGAAAATGAAAATATTTTTCTACAACCAAACGCACCCTTATGTTGCATTTAGTTGCGGAAAAATGGACCGTTTTCCGGAAAAAAATTCCAAGAAAAATGAGAATTTTGAAAACGCGTTTAATTCGTCTATTTTTCTAAATTTTTCACGGAATATGAAAATTTTCCGTTTTCTAAAATTACAAAGAAGTTGGAAATTTTTGGAAAACCGATAATCATTGTTTTTCATATTTTTCTAATTCCAAATTTTTTCTAAAATATAAACACACACCTACTCCCACCCACCCACCTCTACCTACCCCCACATTAACACCCACAACCCACCACACCCCTACCTACCCACACCCACCCACTCCCACTCCCAAACCTACCCCCACAAACACACACACAAACACACACATACACACACACACATCCCCACCCACACCCACACCCCCCCAAACACACACACACACCCACAAACACCCACCCACCCCACCCCCACAAACACACCCCCACACCCACACCTACCCACCCTGTAACATCTGGATTTCCAGGTATCATAAATTGAGTATTCATTTTTTAGTCAAGGAGAGGGACTCGACGAGTCGGCGAGTCGACTCGACGAGTCCGCGCTGTGGACAGAAACCCTAAATCTTTGGGCCTGTGCCCTATTTAAGGGTCCTTATGGCCTTCATTTGCGGCCACTCATACCCTTGAGAAACCCTAACGAGCCAGAGAGCTTAGAGAGGGAGAGAGTGGGCTAATTTCACCACCATAGTGCATTCTTGCAAGGAAGGAAGGAAGATTCAAGCTAGGCTGTTTAGAGGGGGCTCAGAACTTCTTCTATTTCATCAAAGGCTTCTGTTTGAGGTATGAATCCATGCCTATTTTCGTGTATATAGTAGATCTCTTGAATCTAGGGTTTCTTTACCCTTTCTTTAGTTGGAATATGGAGCTTGAGAAGTCCCATTGAGGAATAGACTTTAGATATGGACCTTGAGAGGTCCAAAGTGTCCCAACAACCAAGCTTTATGCTGTTACATGAGGATATTGAGCTTAGGACTCCATTTTTATAGCTATTTCATCAAATAGAGCTATATGTGCGATGCATGAACGTAAAGTTCAGACCTTTACGTGACTTTTGGGTGTTAGAAGGTCAGATCTATAGGTTAGAGAAACAGATCTGACCTCAGAAGGTCGTTTGAGCATTCTCATGGAAGAAACTCGCCGAGTCCATGAGAGGACTCGACGAGTCGGATCGTGTTGCACCACGATTCGTGATCAGTGGTAACCCGTCGAGAGAGAGGTTAACTCGATGAGTCGAGTAAGGCCTTAGGAGGATTCAGAGGACACGCATGGACTCGCCGAGTCCATGAGAGGACTCGACGAGTCGGATCGTGTTGCACCACGATTCGTGATCAGTGGTAACCCGTCGAGAGAAAGGTTAACTCGATGAGTCGAGTAAGGCCTTAGGAGGATTCAGAGGACACACATGGACTCGCCGAGTCACCCGAGTGCACTCGACGAGTCTGGTCAAAGTTGGACCGTTGACTAGGGTTGACTTTTAGGGTTTGGTCAACATTTGGACATTGGACTATTGGAGGGGTAAAATGGTCTTTTCCCCTTCTGAGAGAAGATAGGGAGGAACTGGTCTAGCTTTTGAGAGTCGTATTAATTAGAGATAATTACTTTATGTGATTAGGCGGAGGCTAGATCAGTGATTCGAGTTCGATACTTTCCGAGATTAACCGAGGTGAGTCTTCTCACTATACATTACCTAGAGTGGTAACTATGTGCAGACCGGAGGGTCTTATGTGTTATGTGTATGTTTGAGTTTATGTGAATTGTGATATATGTATGCTATGGTTATATAGACCGGACCGGAGGGTCCAACGATTTAGACCGGACCAGAGGGCCCAACGATTTAGACCGGACCAAAGGGTCCAACGAGTTAGACCGGACTGGAGGGTCCAACGAGCTACGGGACTGGAGGGTCCCGCTGAGACACATTGACCAGAGGGTCATACCGAGTTATAGCCTCGAGTGGCTTATGTGTTGTATGTGGTATTTTGGGGAACTCACTAAGCATTTATGCTTACCGTGTTATGTGATATGTGTTTCAGGTACCAGCGAGGATCGCGGGAAGGCGTCGGCATGATTTGTACACACTGGCAGAAGATTATGCGTTGAGATTCTGGGATATGTTTTATTATGATGACATTTGATACATGAGATTTTAAGAATATTATATGAGTTTTATTATGTTGAAAAATGAAAAATTGTTTTAAATTTACATCGTTACAAGTTGGTATCAGAGCCTTGGTTTGAGGGATTCGGATGCACCTTCGGGCGTATCTGAACTCAAACTAAGGATTTGAGAAATTTTTCATAAAAGAAACAATTTTTCTAAAAGAGTAAAAGATTTTTTAGAAAAGCAGAACGGAGCAGTGAAGCCCTAATGGGCCCAAAAGCCCAAACATGTGACTAATGGGTGTAATAAACCCTAATTGACCTAAGGAAAACCCTAATGGGCTTAAGGACATGGTTTTGGGCCTATTGGGCTAAGATGGGATTAAAAACCCTAATATTGGATTTATGGGCTTGGACTTATCGGGACCCACATTTGGGCCATTAGAATGAAATTGTGTATTAAGCCCAATCACACCATGAGTTATTTAGAAGAGTGATGGACTTAATGGATTTAGTCCTTAATGGGTTAAGTGAGAAACACTTAACCCTAATCGTCATTTTATGAGAAACCCTAATTTCACGTGGGTTATTGTTGGGCCTTTCTGTTGGGCCTTTCTATTGGGCCTTGATGATTGGATTATTAATGGGCCATCCAAGATCAAGCAAATGGACTAGGATAATTAATGGGCTTTGAGGTAAGGACCATATGAGGAGTTGGACCCAATTTGGAAAATTGGGCCATAGTTTGGGCCTTTATGATTATGTGATATTGGGTCATTAGAATGTTGAATATTGGACTGGACCAAATGGTTGGGCCTTATGGTAAAACCTTGTAAAGGTTTGGGCCCAATTTGGAAAATTGGGCCATGTGTTGGGCTTTGACTCATAGTTGACTGTTGGGCCTTTGGATTTGACCTTGGGCTTGAATAAAGCTAAGTTAGGGGTAAAGTAGTATTTATCCCCAAGTATGTAATTATGGTTATGTGTTGGAACCCAATTATTAATTGGGTGATGTTTTGATATTGACAGTTCGGGAAGCTATCATCCAGTAGCTGGATTTGTGTCTACGGGACTTCAGCAGTGTGAGGTGAGTTACCTTCCAGTAGAAGTGGGTCTACGGCCACAATGCCGGCCCACTAGCAGGAGTTGTTTGTTAGATGATTGTCTTTGTGATAATTATCTGGTATGTCGTTATCTATTATGTTTGTGTGCTAGCATGCTTTGTGATACATGTTAGTAGTAGTAGGGGTGAAATAGTCCCCGGGCACCAGTTGAGAGATACCGAAGGGGTCGTCAGAACCCATGCATGCCTAGCAGTATGTTTATGATATGTTATATGTGATAGTGGTAGTAAGAGGGGAATAGTCCCCAAGTTCGGTTGTTAGGACCGAAGGGTAGGTCGGGCACCCCAGATATGCCTGACAGTATGATTGTGATATATTATTGTGTGGTAGTGGTAGGGGTGAAATAGTCCCCGTTGCCGGTTGAGATAGACCGGAGGGTAGGTCGGCACCCCAGAATGGCTTGACACGGGTAGGTCAGCACCCCAGAATGGCTTGACGCGGGTAGGCCGGCACCCCAGAATGGCCGTACCGGGTAGGTCGGGCACCCCAGAATTGTCCGGCAGTATGTATGCTATGTGATTGTATGGTATGTGGTATGATGGGGGGAACTCACTAAGCTTTGTGCTTACGGTTTTCAGTTTTGGTTTCAGGTACTTCGTTTTCAAAGGAAAGGAGTCGGCTCTGATATGGTTTTATGATTCTATATTTTGATTATTGACACTCTGGTTTTGATATGAGATATTATTATGAACATTTTTATACTGATGGTTTTATGTAATAACTTAATTAAAAACGAAATTTTTGGCCTGTATTTTTGGGATGTTACAAGTTGGTATCAGAGCCTTGGTTTGAGGGATTCAGGCACACTCCCGGGTGTGTCTGAACTCAAACTAAGGACTTGGTATGAAAATTTTCAAAAGTAAAACCCTTTTATAAAAAGAAGTTTGAAAAGAATGTGAAAAGAGAAAAGAACAAGGTGTGTGATGCGTGCAATCAGCCGAGCTCAAGTAAGTTTTCCCTAAGATACCCATACATGTTATGATGTGTTATGTTATGTTATGATATGATTATGAGAACTGCATGCTAGATTAGGGCTAAGGATCTAGGAGGATGCCTTATATGCCTATCATATGTGTTTGTAGACTTGCATGCTAGTACTGATCAGTCAGTGATAGGATAGCTTGTTTAGGTTATGCCTGATTGTATGAGCCTTTGAATTGCATGTACAGACTCCTGATTAGAGGATAGAAAGGTTTGATTGGAGTATGATGGTTAGATTTTCCATTGTCCGAATGCTGCTTGCTTTGTGCTTTGTAGGACTCTTAGTAATGTGAGCTAGCTATTAAGTGAATATGCTAAGTCACATGTGACACAGGCTGCATAATCTCAGAGTGATACATTTGACCCTATTGCGCAGCTCTCGTTTGAGTCTAACCGTTCTAGGGTATTTCTTTTAAGAAAGGAGAAGAAAGCAAGATGTTAGGCTACTATGATGCAGATTATGTTGGTGATGTCAATACACGTAGATCAACCACATGTTACTTGTTCATGTTGGGATCTAGTGTGGTAACTTGGTGTAGTAAACGACAACCTACAGTCTCGTTATCGACAACGGAAGCAGAGTATAGAGTTGCTGCAATGGCAGCTCAGGAGTGTGTATGGCTGGTACAATTGCTAAAGGATCTTAAACAGGAGGTGAACTATAGTGTACCATTGTTCTATGATATTTTATCCTCTATACAACTTGCTGAGAATCCCATGTTCCATGCCCGAACCAAGCATATCGAGGTACACTATCATTTCATTTGTGAAAAGGTGTTACAAGGTGACATTGATCTGAAATATATGAACACCACAAATAAAGTTGCAGATTCCTTGACAAAAGGTTTGGCCAGCAAGAAGTTGTTTGAGTTCTGTGATGCTATGCAAATAGTTAAATTAGGTGTTGAGGGGAAGTGTTAAAAGTACAACACCTAAATGCATTGGTACAACACCTAAATGCATGTGCAGGAGTTACTTGGTTATTTTTATGTGTATTTCTTTCTGATCAATTTTCAGCTTTTAGTGAGTAGTTACTTTATTGGTATAAGTTACCTTGTAGTTGTCAGTTTCTTTTCTCGTGTAAGCCTCATAAGGCATGCTTTATTCAGTTGTTTCACGTTAATGCAGAAGTAGTTTTCCTTCTTGTTTGTGCTTTCTTGTGTAATCTTACGGTCTGTAAAAGTGTGTGTTCTTTTAGCCTTCAAGTTTAACAATAAATAAAAACAGAAGAAATAACGAAATTTGAAGATTAGCTTATGCAACAAATATGCATGGGATAGTGCTTGCTGTCTGTCCTTATCTTGATGTTGAAGATAATTGAAATTTTTAGGCGAGAAATGTTGAAAATAGTTGTCCATTGCAATATTTGAGATTACCCCAAGACAATAACAATATATAAGATGCTACATGTCCATTACACCATGATTTCGATACACAAGGATCCTTCCAAAATTAATTAAACTTGATCGAGTCGCTCAACATCTCATATTCATAAATAAAAGGGTTTACAAACAAATTTTAAAAATACTGAAATAAATAATCTAAACAGTCATTCTCTGATATTGATTTGAAAGAAGTAACTAAATTGGGTTTCTTTTTATTTTTTTCCTGCAAGAAAAGATGGTTTATCTCGCAAGCAGTCCCCATGTGGAGCAAGTGAAGGCTTTCGACATACATATTCATGTTAACTAAGGAAGAAGTATCATTGAAGTCCACTAGTAATGATCGCACCCCTGTCTTAGGATTATAAACTTGGAACCCATCCGAGACATCGTCCAGCAACAAATCACCGCTGTTGCTCAGTTCCAAAACTTTCGTTACCCCAAATCCAACTTGATTTGCTCTCGATTCAAGAACCACAGACCAAGAATCATCTGCATCTCTCCTCACCCAAACCCAACTATCATCGCCAACAATAGTAATCACAGCTAGAGAACCTTGGATGGTTGCTAGTCTTCGGGTTTCCCAACAAGGTTTTGGCAAGGCAATCATGCCAAAAACATGAGTCCTCAAATCCAATGTCATTATATAACCAACTTCTACTTGTTCTGAATCAGGAAAACAACGTCCTACCACCCAATGCAATACCCCATTGAGATAAACCGACCTTGATAACGATTTAGAATACAAAGGCATAGGGGAAACAATAGGACGCCAAGCGCCCGTTTTCAAGGCGTAAACAAATGAACTTTCTCCTTTTCCATTTCCATTAATGGGTATACTCACAATCTTGTTATCATCGGTGATTGGGTCGAAACCAAACCCGATCCCCAATCCATAAATGCATCTCCGGGGACAATCGGGCAGGGTTAGTTGGCGCATAATTGAAGGGTTCCATAGACTAATTACACCATCTTTACAACCAAGCAGACACAAAATTCCATTACATGAACCAACAATATTGATATTTCTGTGTGGAAACTTGACTGCTGTTATACCAATGTATCCACGCAATGGCAATTGGTCTTCTGCATGTAATGTACAAAAGACGTCATCGCCATATTCTTTTATGTAGTTATGTCCAACAAGGTGTGTGAAGGCGAGTCTTTGTGGGGATCGAGAAGTGTGCCTGCGGATGAAACCGGGGCTATCAATACAAGAATGTAATGATTTGGAGACTGATCTAAATTGGAGGAGGGATTTGGGTGGTAGTCTTGTCAAGATTTCAACCATCAACTCTTCACATAGATTATCTAACATTCTGTAATTCTGCATTTTCCAACAAGATAGAAATTAGTTGTAGGATACAATCAAAATCATTGGGAAAACGAACTTGCCCATTCCTCTTTAATTGTCTCTAAACTTGCAATTCTATTACATCGTTCCTCTTTAATTGTAAATTATTAAGTTTTTTGCTACTGCATTCTTGATACAGCAACCTTACCTGTCCTTGACGACCATTGAAGTTGCATTTCATTTGTGAACTTTGCTGATATTCATAGACAACCACTCTAGATATTCTTGAAATAATACTGGAATAGTGGAACTATATATTTTTTTTAATAGGCATTATAAAGTGCATTTATGCATTAGTGCAGTTCATATATATGCATTCTTTGTTAAATTTAATTCTATTAGATTTTAGGACCAAATCAAAATCTTCACTCACCTATTATTTATGTTAATTGTTGTAAATTATGGTGTTTTTCATACGTAGTATTATTTAAGGAGATATATTAGATGAATTTGCATAAATGGGAAGTAAAAGTACTCATCCCATATCAGCGGTGACTTTGAAAATAAGAGTGGGGAAGGTTCTTTAAAATGAACTAATTCAATCAAATAAAATAGGGAAGCAAAACTACGCCCAAGGGTTTTGATCACTATACAGTGGCACCCAAATTTATGTTTAGTGGTATCAAGACTCGACAGACTTGTATAATTGTTTTGCATGAATTTTTTGGTTGTACTTGATAAAATAAAAAAAAAAAAAAAAAAAAAACATTTCGGATATCCAAATCCGTATCTGAAATTTTGGATATCTAAAATCAACTATCCGAAATTCAGATATCTGAATTTCGGCTATCCAGTTTTTAACCCCCTTAATTTTACTATGTGGTTTTGTATAATTCTTTCCAAGATTACACTGATGGTAAGTAAAAGTTTATCTATTTCTTAAAAATGTTTTTCGTTGCTTATTTTGCTCTTCTTTTGACATTATATATATATATATATATATATATATATATATATATATATATATATATGACTCACTGAATCTTTACAACATAAACAAACTCAAAGAAAATCAATATAAAAAAATACTCCCAAGCCAAGAAAATCACATGGTAAATATATCGCATATAGATACCTCAGAAAAATTGAATCTTTAAAACTTAAACAAGTTATTATCATCACAATTTTAACCGGCCAAGAAAACCAAACTTTAAAAGTGTATATCTAAAATAGATAACTTAGAAAATTGAATCTTTTAACACCTATACAAACTATTATCATCACAAAACTAACTGGCCAAGAAAATCAAACTTAAAAAAAAGTATGAAAAATCACTCACAACTTTAACAAGCCAAGAAAATCACATGATAGGGACATAAACAAATAACTCACAAAAATTGAATCTTTAAAACCTAAGCAACTTATTATCATCATAACAAATTTGACAGGCTAAGAAAATCAAGCTTTAAATGGTATAAAAAATCGACTCACAAATTTAACAAGCTAAGAAATCACATGGTACGGACATATCTCATACAATGACTCAAAAAAATCGAACCTTTAAAACCTAAACTAATTATTATCATCCCAAATTCAACAAGCCAAGAAAATCAAACTTTAGAAGGGTATACAAATTCGCTCACAGAGAAGAAGATATGTGAAGGGTACAAAAAAATTGAATCTTTAAACGTCGGCAAACAGTTTCTGGCTGTCGAGCACATATCGACGATGTATATCTACAATCATTCTTATTTTAAAAAAAAAATCCTTTCCAAGATTACAATCCTACAACATGCAAAATCACAAGTTAACCACACAATACTAATAAAGTTAACATCTTTTTCGTCGTCGTATTTTTCTATTAGCGATACTAATTTAGTATTCTATTTTCACATACGAATATATGGCATATAGATAGCTCAGAAAAATTATATCTTAGCCTAAACAAATTATTGTCCTCACAAATTTATCGAGCCAAAAAAATCAAACAGGGCATAAAAAAATCACTAACCGGAGAAGAGGAACGGTGAATACTAATAAAGTTAACATCTTTTTCGTCGTCGTATTTTTCTACTTGTAACTAAAGATCCTAATTAGCAATACTAATTTAGTAGTCTATTTTCACATACGAACATATCGCATATAAATAACTCAGAAAAATTATATCTTAGCCTAAACAAATCATTGTCCTCACAAATTTATCGAGCCAAGAAAATCAAACAGGGTATAAAAAAATCACTAACCGGAGAAGAGGAACAGTGAATTGGACTGCGATCAAGAAGAAGGCTGTATTCAGAAAGATCGGATGAGTGGGGACAAGGGACTACTGCGAAAGGGATAGATGGTAGACCATCCAGATACTTATGAGGCAGAACAGACCGATTCACGGGAACATAGATCCAGTTTAGCTAATGCAACACGGGAAGAACTTGATCAGATCGCGTCGCTTACGAATGCTCCTCCAGCTTGATGCAGGGAGAAATTTGTACAATAGTGGGAGGACGGTAAATGTAAGGGTCGGTGCAAGGCTTTATAGGACTTATAATGCGTCCGTAGGTTTCACTAAATGGGCTGGCCCGTTATTTGTTTAAATTGGAAAACCAAACTTAACTAGAAGCTAATTGCCAATATACTTACGAGATGGACAATAAAATTTGAGTAAACTAACGAATATAATCGAATGTTTGAATAAAAAATGATTATTTTTTTAAAATTTACAAATATGATCACTAAATCTGGAATTAAGTCATTCCGGAGTAGTAAAGTTAATTTCAAAGTTTGCGGACATTGGCTTCCGAAATCTGGCGCCGTACATTCCAAACTGACACAATCAATCTTTGAAAAGCGTATTCAAGAACATACATATTGGACTAACATTCCGGGCTGCGTATAAATATTCTGGATTTCCATTGTATATTCTGATCTTTGTGTATTGTACATTCCTGACGCCAAATACTAGTGTTTTTTTTTCCACATATCATGTGTATTCCAGCTAATTTTCATTCACTTACAGCCAAATATTCTTAATTGTGTTTTATAATTATTTCAAAATGAGTTTCTCAGATAGTGATTATTCTTAATTGTGTTTTATAATTATTTCAAAATGAGTTTCTCAGATAGTGAAAGCTTTGCTGACTTGTATGATTACTTACATAACCTCTAAAGAACGAACCCTCAAAGTTACACCAATATCAAAAAAGATGTTATGAATTGTTTTCAATTATGTTTTGACTTAAAAGTGCCTAAGTTTTCAAAATTTGTTCGGTTTAGTCCTTGCGGCGAATTTTGGTGCGTTAGCGCCCAACATTTGGGCTCTTTTTTGTCAAAAACGCCATTTAGCAGGTCATCCGGTAACATTCGGTGACACACCTCTCATTCACTCTCGTTATCTTTTCCGTTTCTTCTGTTTCATTTCCGTTAGACATCGAGAACACAAATACCCATCACATTTACACCAAAACGGACGTCTGCTCTGTTTCTCCACAAAAATCATCATTGTCACCCATATTTCTCTCCATTTTCAAAGCATTTTAGGGTTTGATTGTTATCAGAAGCTCGAGTAAAGAAGAAGACGATAATCAGTGTTGATAGTGTAAGTTAAGTAAAGAAGAAGATCATCACAGGTAAGGTATTTACAGTTTTGGACTAAATTTTGATTTTTTTTCCTTTGATCTCTTAGTTGAAATGACGTTATGTAACCTTGATTTTATGCAAGAGTGAAGAATGGCTTCATCAGAGGAAGAATGACCCATTTGCTGTTTTGAACGAACCTTTTGTTGGTTTGAACGAGATGGACTTTGAACTACATGGTATTTACATAGACCATGAAACAGAGGATGAGTTCGTGACCATACTAGATAAGTGTAAGGATAATTTCTTGAATGTATTGCTTAATGATGCTAATCTTCGTAATGCAAGTTAGTCTGATAAAATGAGAGCACGAGTATATCATGAAAATGATTGGCAAAGTGATAAAGATGATGAGGAAGAAGTACAACCTAAGTATAGGGTTCATGATCCCAACATCGGATGGGACAAGATGGAACCAAAACTTGGTGATATATTTGAATCCGTTGAGCAACTTAAATTCTGTTTTGCAAACTATGATGTGTCCCATGGGTATCAAATATATTTTGCCAAGTGTGATAGTGTTAGAATTGTTGCAAAATGTGGGAAAAGAAATGAAGACAACAAATACCCTTTCAGATTGCATGTTGCTTAGATGTACAAGGAAAGGTCATTACAAATCAAAACAATGACTAGGATCCATAAATGCTCTAGGTCATTCACGTTTGGTTCAATTGTGTCTCCTGAATGGATTGGGAGACATTACATGACTAAGATTGCAAACAAGCCAAAGCTTAAGCTTAGGGAGATGATAAGTGATATTAAACAGACATTTAGATGTGATGTGTCTATTGGCCAATGTAGGAGGGAAAAAAAGGCAAAAGAGTTAATTGAAGGAAAGTTCACTGAGCATTATGCAAGAATATGGGACTACTCCTGTGAGCTTTTAAGATCAAACCCTGGGTCTACTTGCAAGGTTAGTGTCATCAACAACCCTGATGGAAAGAGCTATTTCCACGGATTTTGTATCTGTTTTAAGGCTTTAAGTAGTGGATGGAAAAGTGATTGTAGAAAAGTGATTGGTTTAGATGGATGCTTCTTCAAAGGTGAGGTGAAAGGTGAACTGTTGACAACAATTGGAAGGGATGCAAACAACCAAGTCCATCAAATAGCTTGGGTTGTTGTAGATGTGGAGAATAAACCTAATTGGACTTGGTTTTTGGAGCTCATACATGATGATCTAATGTTGGATGGTGGTAGAGGGTTGGTTATCATATCATACATACATAAGGTACTTTTATTTGCTATGTTTTGTATTAATATACTATATAATTGAAATGTTTTATATTAATATACAATGTACTTATATGTTTCAGGGCTTGTGGGAAGCTGTGAAAGGCATTTTGCCACATGTGGACCACAGCCAATGTGCTAGACACATTTATGCAAACTTCAAGAAGGCTTACACCGGATTAGAATTCAAAAGACTTTTTTGGGCTTCAGCAATGAGTTGTGTAGAAGGAGACTTCAAGAAACATATGGGTGAAATAAAGAAGCTTAGTCCTGGTGTATATGAGTATTTTATTTCCAAACAGCCTAGAACTTGGTGTAGAGCTTACTTTACTTCAGGGTTTGCATGTGAAGCAGTTTGAGAATGGAATCTTAGAATGCTTTAACTCCATCATAATAGAAGCTAGGAAAAAGCCTTTGATAAGAATGCTTAAGGAGATAAGAATCTACATAATGGATAGGTTTGCTCACATGACTGATAAGTGTAACAAATGGAAGTCCAATGTGTGCCCAAATGTGTTGAAAAAAATGAACCTTTTTGGGAAGTATATGAGGTATGTATTATTTAGCCAATTACATTTTTATTTTATAAATCAATGCTCTTATGTTAATGTTTTTAAATTTATGTGTCACTTTTCGTTTTTGGATGGTTATTCATAGCCAAGGTTCAGTGTTTGAAGCTAGGTTCAATTATGAAAGTTTCAAGGTAGACTTAGAGGCCATGACTTGTACATGCAGGCTTTGGGGTCTTTTGGAATCCCTTGTGTTCATGCAAATGTTGCCATTAAATATGTCCATAAGACAGCTGATGGATATGTTAATGAATGCTTCTTAAAAGACAGGTTTATGGAATGTTACCAAACTAACATAATGCCTGTCGATGGGAGAAATTTATAGGAACAAAATCCATTCCAAAAGCATTTTCCACCAATATCTAGGAGAATGCCAGGAAGACCTACCACCAAAAGGAGAAGACATTCAAGTGAAAAAGAGACCAAGTTTGCTACTGCAAGAGTTAAAGTAGCCAGAGCTGTGAGGTGTAACGCTCTGTTTCGAATCATTTTCCCATTGTGGGGTGGTTATCAAGGAGTGAAATTATCAAACTTAGAACCCTTGAAGAATTGAGTTTGGGCTCATTTGTATGTGGATGATGCAGTTTGGATGATCCGGGTTTTTGGTTTGTGTTTTGGAGCCCATGGGTATCGGTAAAGGTGTTGGTTCGGGACTTTTATGAATTTTGGATTTTATTTCGGTTGGTTTTCAGGCTAAATAAATTTAATTGAAGTGTAGGACTTCTCGTTACCTTTTCGTGGATATAAAGAACGTCAAAAACGTATAAGGGATGCAAAAGTTATGACCATTTGAAGTTAGAGGGGTGTTAGGCCAAAACGGATACGCATGGCATACCACGTAGGAACGCATGGCGTTCAAAAAGGAATTTGGACACAGGAGCATTTGGGACCGCCCTGCGTTCCCCAAGGGAACGCTCTGCGTTCGTCAGGCCATATTAAAACCCTAATTTAGGGTCTTGGACCCTATTTAAAGACCTTAACTCACATCCAACCCTTATTTCCTTCGGCCTCCATCCTCTCTAACCCTAAGAACGAAATCCTAGCCTCCATTTGAGTGATTATTGAGCTTCAAAGTGATTTATGTGTGTTTTTGGTGCTTGAGGAAGAAGAAGGAACTTCTTGAAGAGTCATTGCTTGACTTGGAGCTTTTGGATCCAGGCTTTGTGCACCTTGATCTATCTTCTGGAGGTATAAAGTCTTAACCTTGACAACTATTTCATGTAGATCTAGCTAAGTGGTATTTTTGTTATGGTTTTGGTCCTTTTGAGGTGGTTCTTGTGAGTAGAAGTTACTCCAGAACCTTTGAGCTTCATAGTTGGTCCTTGTTGTGGTTATGGAATCATAAAGTTTGGATCTTGATGGGTGTAAACCTTCCATGCATGATTTGGTAGTCATTTTATGAAGTTTGGGACTTAGGGTTTTGATTTGGGTCCCATTGTGTTATGATAAGTCATAAAGTTGGAAACTTTATGACTTAAGAAGTCCCTTGAAATCAGATCTGGAAGTTTGGATTGAGGTCTTAAGGTATTAAGAAAATTTTAAGACATTTTGGGGTGATTTTGACCTTTGGGTTTCATCTTTGGTGTTGGGCTTCATTAAGCCATGCAAAGGCTTAAAGCCTCCGACTTTATGGATCAAGTCACTCTTATTTTGCTATTCTGAGGTTTTGGACGTTTGGCTTAAAGGATTAAGTCATTGGAATGACTTTTGGGTGGCCGCCGGGAACGTCTTGCATAACACTGGGGAACGCCGCGTGCTCCGGCTATGATGTTGTTTTTGGACCGGCGACGTACACCGTGCGTACGTCTGATCAGATGAGAATTGGGCTTTTTGGACTTGGACTCTTTTGGTATGGTTTTCGGTTGGGTTGAGTTGTTTCTTTTGGGCGTAGTTGTCTTGGGCCCTATTACGTTATCAGGTTTTTTGGCTGATAATTATTTTGAGAAGGCCTATAATGGGTTTGGGCCTAGTTTGAAAAATTGGGCCATGGGTTGGGACTTGGGTAGTTGTTGGTATTTGGGCTTTTTGGATTATTATGTTTGGGCCTAAGTCTTGGTCCAAACTAGGTAAGAGGTAAATTGGTCATTTACCCTAGTAATGGATTTATGGTTATGGATTAGAACCCACATGTTAATTGGGTGTTGTTTTGATATTGATAGTTTGGGGATCGGTCAGCCAGCAACCAGGGATTTTCTGTGTGTTTCGGCAGTGTGAGGTGAGTCTTCTCACTATATCCATGGGTCGAAGGCACCAATGCCAGCCCATTACGTGTTATGTAGTATGCTAGTTGTCTCTGTGATACCTGCATGGGAGACCCCGGGGGGAGCCCATGGCAAGTGGATATCAGACCATGGGGGGAGCCCATGGCATTCCAGGTAAAGACCATTGGGGTGGGGGGGGGGGGCTGGCATTCCAGGTAAAGACCATGGGGGGAGCCCATGGCATACCAGATAAAGACCATGGGAGGAGCCCATGGCAACTATATGTATGTTGCATAATAATCTGTGGTTGTATGTTGTATGGTATTTTGGGGAACTCACTAAGCTTTGTGCTTACGGTTTTCAGTTTATGTTTCAGGTACTTCAGTTTTCTAAGGAAAGAGTGATGATGTATTGAATCGAGTAAGAATGAATCAGAGTAAGTATGAATCCGAGATTGAACACGAGTTGTAAATATGATCTTGTTTCAGCTCTATTATGCTCTCAAAGTTTTACAGAGTAAAAGACAGGTTCTGTAAAGGACTCTTATCTAACTCTAGTAAAGTTCCATATTTATAGGAACAGAGAAAGCATACAAAAAATACTAAGGCATTGACACTAAGCTTCGTATGAAATACACCTTAGCAAATACATAAATGAAACATACGAAGGGTACAAAAAAAGGACTTCGACTTATTACAACACTATTTGACCCTTACAATCTCCCCCTTTGTAATAAAGTAGACCACTTCAATTAGTGAGTAACTGAATGGAATAAAGCATCACCCTTCGTATTTCCGTATACCAGGAAATGTATCCTCTAAATCTCAATCCAATTCGAGGGAAGCCAGCAATATGCCTGCTGACGAAGGCGAACTTAGATGAAAGTTGGTTGTGGCACCGAAGGCTCTCGCACCTCAACTTCAAAGATATTAACAAACTGGTGCTTGGTGATCACGTGCGAGGACTTCCCGTTCTCAAATTTGATAAGGAGCACTTATGTGCTGCATGCGAAATGGGAAAGCAAAGCCAAAAGAGTCACCCTACTCGCATTAATACAAAGATCATCGAACCTCTTGAGCTTCTGCACATCGACTTATGTGGCCCTTCGGCAATCGAAAGCAT